GGGGCCAGTGGGCATTGGCTAGCTGAGATTCTGGACCAGTCACCCTGAAGTTGGGCTTCTAAGGGTAGATCACCTGGTGTCCCCAGGGCCACAGCAGTGGGAGCCCAACAACCCCACCCTAGGCCCCACTACCCTCAAATCTGGTCACTGGCTGGGAAGGAGTTGGGGGGCCAGGGGAAAAATAGGAAAGGAGGCCAGGGGGCCTGAGAGAGCTTTCTCAGGTTTGTCCCCCAGCTCTGACAGGGCCCTGAGGGATGGGTCTCCAGGGGACCCATGGGCCAGTCTTGCCACGGGACAGTTTATGCTCTCCAGAGCCAGAGTTCCCAGGTGCAAATCCTGGCTCTGCTATTTTCTGGCTTGGTGATCTTGGACAGCTCCTTTCCCCTCCCTGGGCCTCAGTTTCTCCATCTGAATATTGGGGATCAAAACAGCACCCACCTCACAGGACAGATTTGAAGATGACATGTGCCTGGCACATGATGGCACTCAGTGAAGGGCAGCTTTCCACAGCCTCTCCAGTGCAGGTCTTTGCCAGGCCCTCTCGAGGAATAGCTCTGCTGGGAAACATCCCTCCATCTGTGTTTTCCCAGACCTCTGACTGTGAGAGGCAGCTTCTACCCAATATAATTATTTGAGCTCTGGGCACTGCCAGCTGAGAGAGCCCAGGCCTCTGAAGGGCCCAGGGTCCCAGTGGTAGTTGTCATGTCTCAGGGGGGACAGCAAGGCCACCCCTCCAGCTTGAAGAGGAGTATGGACCATAGACTGATCCCAGGGGTGCTGCCTGTACCCACTGCCCCCAAGCCCTGGACAAAGGGCATCTAGATTCACCACTCCCAGGATTCCATGACCATCTCAGCCTCATTCTCAAAACCCAGAGCATCTTGGGTGGGGGTCCTGGGACAGAGCCCTAGGCAGTGGAGATGGACAGGAGGTGTCAGGCCGTGGAGAGGTGTCTGCCAGGGACCAGCGTGGGGTTTTGACAATCAGCACTTGGCAGTCTCCAGGCCAGAACCTGGCCCTGGAAGTTCAAAGGCCAGCCACAACCTGAGGGTGGGGCCTCTCACCTCCTTAACCAATCACACCCTTGAGGGCAGAGGTCCTGCTGCTGGCTGTGACACAGACTTCCCTTTTCTCAAGGATCCTATGGCTTCTGCCCAGCAGGCAGAAGCTGTGGTGGAGAGCTCCTGCCAACTCAGCCCTAATGCTCAGCGGTGCCCGCTACGTTTCGCCTCTGATAACCAGCTGTCAGCTGAGCCCTAAGCCCTGTTTGCCAAGCCCGAGTGGAGTGTTGGAGCTTCCTGGACCCGCCTGCCTTGGAAGAGAGGAAGGCCCACAGCAGGCCAGGTGGCATCTCTGGTTGAGAAGGGCCAGAATCTCAGGGTGCCCATCCCATGCAGGTCCACTGTCTCAGCGCCCCCTATCTCAGAGCATTCCCCTCGTCCGAGGCCCAGAGGTGTTCCAGTAGGGGGAGGGGGAGGTCACTGGGCAAGGGGCAGCGCGGGGCTGAGTGGCACACAGTGCGCAGAGGAGCGACAGGATCCCGGGTGCTCCCTCACCCAGGCCCACCACCCCACACCCCGACCCAGACCCGGAGGCGGCCACTAAGATGCGCCCACCTGGCAAAGGTTCACCGACCCACGCACCCAGGGGCGGCCGGGTCCTGACCCCACCCCAGGGGCGGCTGGCTC